CTGACATAGAGTCTTCTAAAGAGGGCAACCTGGAACGGACACAGATTTTGTAAAGACCCTGGAATTGACAGCTGACTACAGTCTTCCCTAGACTTTTTATAGAGGAGAACCTAGAATAGACACATAGGGGTTGATTTACTAAGAATAAGGTGAAGCAGTAGATGTCAGACACCAAATTTCACCTAACTGAAACAGTTAAGACCTTGCTGTGGTGAACGGAAAAGCGACTTCAGCTAGGAAAATGCCTTTTAGTAAATGTCGAATTCAATAGAGCAGAACTTAGAACTGGCACAGAGATATTTAGAGATGAGAACCTAAAAATGACATACATTGGCAGAGGGCCCTAGAACTGAAGCAGTATCTAACCCGAGTGTGAACATATACAGGCATTTTTGGAACCTTTAGGTGCATTTGTCAAGTGTATTTAGGCTTGAACATTTTTGTTTGAGCTAAACGAAAGCTAGTTACTAGGTGGAGATGGTTGTTTAGGCTTGAAAAATGCTTATTTTCAGCTGTTTTTCTGGTGCTCTCTGAAGTCGATGGGGCCAAAACACCCAATTCTGCTTTAAAAGTACATCATGTAACTTTCAGAACTTCGGATGTCAAGCTACAGGTGCCTGAGCCCTTATATGTGAATGGGCACAATTTATAAATGTGATTTTGGAAGACCAGGTGAGGTCTTCTTCGTAGTGGGCTCAACATGGCTTTACTCAAATTCATAACTTTTTGACTTCCCGCTCCTTCACCTACTGGCGCACCCTACAGGAACAATATGAAGCTCCTGCAATGGAATGTTATAGGTATTTGCAGCTTTTCTACTGGATCCTAACCGTATGTAAATTGTCAGATTTTCCATGTAACAAGACAGTATTGGAGCATATCTGCCTACACACCCAAGGGTCACCCAGGTTAATTTCCATCCTTTACACAACACTCAAAAGTCAAGGCCCCCTAGAATCCCTCTCATACGTAAGGAACTGGACACATGACCTGGCAACCCCCACTGATCCAGAGATTGGAAGCAAGGTCTAGTCTAGGAGGAAAATGTTCTTTCAATACAACAGCCTTAAAATCGGCCCATAAAATGCTATTGTGGTGGCACTGGGTTCTGGTTTGAATCGCCCTAGCTGTTCCCAACTATTCCAATAGATGTATCCAAGGCTGTGGCTAATGAGCTGATACCTAGTAGTCTTGCCCAAAACCCATCTACTTTTGGGTCAGAATTTGACTTTTTCAAACATTGTTTCATTTGGTAGTTCCCTGGAAAGCTTAATATGCTCTGCTTCACTGCCCAATCCCAGGCCTCTCTGTACACTAACAAAAACTGGCCATGTACCTCTTATCATCCACTCAAACGATAGCTAATCATGGAGGAAACCTTTGGTTTCTTTACAGGAAGCCAGGGATTGTATGACCCAGATGCTAATTAATGAAAAACTTTCTAGTATCTTTAATGATTCCCAACTTAAAATTTCTAGGGATCTGGGAACTGTGGCTTAATTATTCCCTGCCCTCTTTGTCAAACCTATCTTACTAGCTTTCTATTGGGACTGGGACCTGAGTTTGTGGAGTCCTCTTCCCTGCACCCCCATTCGTACCCTTCTACCCCCTTCCTTCTCACCTGGATCCCACATCCCTTCCCCTCCCAAATGATCCCAACTACTCAATCCTCCTAAGGCATCCCATTATATAAAGTCCATCTATAATCTCAGTATATATTCATATTGCCTGCCTCCTAAATGCTTCCGCTGATTTGCCGTTTTGATTTCCTTGGTTATATCTAGTTATCAATTGATGTTGTTGTCCCTGCAGGGGCCTAACAGCTAAGATTTCAACATTTGAAATTCTCAATAAAATCACTGAACCAGAAAATTAGATTTTGGTTGTTGAGCGTTTTGGACCTTCAAGCTCTAAAATGCTCCGGGTCAAATCAGGGCCAATGGAGGATTTCCCCCCAAGTGAGACCATAGAACAGAAACACCCTAGGACGGATTTCTCCAGGCCTTCTCTAGAACAGATACTAAAAAAAAAAAAAAATTAAAAGCAGACAGGAACCACCGCAGGTTAGTAGTAAAGCTAGCTACCGACTCACCTCATGAATAAAGGGTGGTGTACTCAGGGCCAAAATATATAGACCAACTGGCTCTGTTCCAGAGACGACCAAAAATCGAACGTGAAAAAGAGATGTCCTCAGACGGGGCTCCTTTGTGTGAATCTCTTTTTCATGTTAGATTTTTGGGGTTTTGGGTAGCCATACGTTATGTTCTACTGACGGATCTCCAAGTCACGTTGGACTTTCTAATTCATCGTTCCTCAGTGGAAGGATCTTGCTCTGTTTTGGAGAAGACCAAAAATCTAACGTGAAAAAGAGATGTCCTCAGTCGGGGCTTCTTTGTGTGAATCTCTTTTCCACGTTAGATTTTTGGTCTTCTTTAGTCCTCAGGGCCAAAATATATTAGACCAACTGGCTCTGTTCTAGAGAAGACCAAAAATCTAACATGGAAAAAAAAAAAAAAAAAAAAAAAAAAGATGTCCTCAGTCAGGGCTTCTTTGTGTGAATCTCTTTTTCACGTTAGATTTTTAGGCCTTCTCTGGAACAGAGCCAGTTGGTCTATATATTTTGGCCCCGAGGACTAAAAAAAGACCAAAAATCTAATGTGAAAAAGAGATTCACACAAAGAAGCCCCGATTGAGGATATCTTTTTTTTTTTTCACGTTGTATTTTTGGTCTTCTTTAGTCCTCAGGGCCAAAATATATAGACCAACTGGTTCTGTTCTAGAGAAGACCAAAAATCTAACGTGAAGAAGAGATGTCCTCAGTCGGGGCTTCTTTGTTTGAATCTCTTTTTCATGTTAGATTTTTGGTCTTCTTTAGTCCTCAGGACCAAAATATATAGACCAACTGGCTCTGTTCTAGAGAAGACCAAAAATCTAAACGTGAAGAAGAGATGTCCTCAGTCGGGGCTTCTTTGTTTGAATCTCTTTTTCATGTTAGATTTTTGGTCTTCTCTAGAACAGAGCCAGTTGGTCTATATATTTTGGCCCTGAGGACGAAAGAAGACCAAAAATCTAATGTGAAAAAGAGATGTCCTCAGTTGGGGCTCCTTTGTGTGAATCTCTTTTTCATGTTAGATTTTTGGGGTTTTGGGGAACCATACGTTCTTATGTCCTACTGACGGATCTCCAAGTCACGTTGGACTTTCTAATTCATCGTTCCTCAGTTGAAGGATCTTGCTCTGTTTTGGAGAAGACCAAAAATGGAAAATGAAAAAGAGATGTCCTCAGTCGGGGCTTCTTTGTGTGAATCTCTTTTTTTTTTTACGTTAGATTTTTGGTCTTTAGTCCTCAGGGCCAAAATATATAGACCAACTAGCTCTGTTCTAGAGAAGGCCAAAAATCTAACGCGAAAAAGAGATTCACACAAAGAAGCCCCAACTGAGGACATCTCTTTTTCACGTTAGATTTTTGGTCTTCTTTAGTCCTCAGGGCAAAAAATATATAGACCAACTAGCTCTGTTCTAGAGAAGGCCAAAAATCTAACGCAAAAAAGAGATTCACACAAAGAAGCCCCAACTGGGGACATCTCTTTTTCACATTAGATTTTTGGTCTTTTCTAGAACAGAGCCAGTTGGTCTATATATTTTGGCCCTGAGGACACCACCCTTTATTCATGAGGTGAGTCGGTAGCTAGCTTTACTACTAACTCTTCTCTAGAACAGAGCAAGATCCTTCCACTGAGGAACGATGAATTAGAAAGTCCAACGTGACTTGGAGATCCGTCAGTAGGACATAACTTATGGTTCCCCAAAACCCCATTTCTGGAACAAATGAATTCCAGGAACATCTGCCCATCGTAACCTAAGATGGCTTCCTGTCATTTAAAAAAAACACAAAGACTTTTCAGCTACATCTGACAGACTTTTATATAAGTCGGGTGGGAAATCATAAAAAAGGACTTTCTGGGCATTAATCAAGGTCGCGTTCATCATCAGTGGCCTGGAACATGCTAATTTGTCCTGGCTTTTAATTGTCAGACGTTTTATTTTCCACGGGAGATAGATAACACAGTGTACACAAAGCCAGCTGCGTCCCAAGAATCCCCGACAAAGTCAGAACAGAAAGCGGCGGAGCCCCGTTTAACCCTTCGGCGCGGAGCCGGTTAACGCCTGGAAGCCAGGCGGCGCCGGGTGATAGAACGTAATATTAGGAGGAACCATTAAAATGCAGGATGGTGTTCAATGAGTGGAATAATGGAATCATTACCCGAACTTGTACGGCTGCGGAAGATAAACAGCGCAATCGCAATCTGAATCACGTTACAAATGGCCCAATTAATCACGGGTATACCAGAGACATGGCTGGCTGCCCTGCGCTGCCGCCGGAGTGAGAGAACATCGCCGCGCCACGACGCCGACACATTTCAAGACGTTCAGAGGACATCTGGACTGTGTTGAACAAGCTCCTCCGTCCTCCGCTAACAAATACAAATAACGGCGCCGCGTCCTAAAAAAATCATTAACAGTTAGAACGCGGGATTCTCATTCCACCAATTTTGAGGATGTTTTAACATTTATGGCGCGTTTCGGGTCTCCAACAGCTGGGAACAGCCGGTAAAAACGATTAATCGTACTGGAAAGGAAGCCCATCCCCCCCCTCCAGGGTCACCTGAGAGGAGCCAATCAGCTTCTTACACAAAACGTCACAAATGTTAAAGTAGATTTAAATGCAAATCACTAAAAACTCATATTTTAGAGGCTTTACCAGTTTAAAATCAGTTCAAAAGTCAATTAAAAAAAAAAAAGCCTCCCCTCCGCTCTTGCACAGGTGTACCGGCTCCTCCCCTTCAGTCTTCTACAAGTGTACTGCCTCCTCCCCTTCAGTCTTGCACAGGTGTACCGGCTCCTCCCCTTCAGTCTTGTACAGTTGTAATGGCTCCTCCCCTTCAGACTTGTACAGGTGTACAGGCTCCTCCCCTCTAATCTTGCACAGGTGTACCGGCTCCTCCCCTCAGTCTTGCACAGGTGTACCGGCTCCTCCCCTCAGTCTTGCACAGGTGTACCGGCTCCTCCCCTCCAGTTTTGCACAGGTGTACCGGCTCCTCCCCTCCAGTCTTGCACAGGTGTACCGGCTCCTCCCCTTCAGTCTTGCACAGGTGTATCGGCTCCTCCCCTTCAGTCTTGCACAGGTGTATTGGCTCCTCCCCTGGACTGACATGTCTTCCTCTGACGTCACTGCACACTGGGAGCTTTTCACAATGTGCATTAGAAGCTGCAGCCAGTCAGATAGAACTCCGCCTCATTTCCTGGCTGGAGGATATCCAGCATCATCTAGCGCTTTCCTCCCCAACCTGACTGGCCCCTCCCCTTCCATTTATTAGATTTCTGTCCTTTCAATCATGGAGGTTCAGCATCACATGTGGGCGTTATTATGCAAATAAATCCTGCCTAGGAACGCCCCCTGCTCCAGACCGATACCCACCCATCAAGGCATTTTGATATTTGCATAACTCCTCCCACTGCTTGCCTCAGGACTGAGGGCTCTGGAGAGGAGTGCTGAGGCAGGGGGCTGTGATGTTTTTAAGAAGCTATGTACAGCACCCTGCTGGCCCCTACCACCAGCCATGCTCTGCCTGCATTGCATATAGAAGCACAGAGTGGAAAGGTGTTCTTCGTTGGAGGTGTCTAGCTTCAACTAGCTCTTTCCTCCTCATCCTGATGGCCCCTGGCCCGCATTTATTGAATTTTAGTCCTTTCAGTCATGGGAGCTCAGCATCACACGTGGCCATTACCTCTCGTGGTCTGCATATGTAGCCTGCCTAGGAACGCCCACTCCTCCTGACATTTACCTATCAAGGCATTTTGAATTTGCATAACCCCTCCCAAGAGCCAGCCCACTGCTTGTCTCAGAGATGATGGCCACGAATATGCTAAGCAATCAGATCGTCCCTGAGGCAAGGTGCTGTGACGATCTGATTGCTTAGCATAGAGAAGCACAGAGTACCAGTAATACCATCACTGGGACTAAAATAAGGTCATAAAAATATATATATATTTTTTTTTAAATAATACCATTCCCATGTTTATGGGCGGGGAGGGGGACCAGGGAAGGAAAAAAAAATAACCAGATTAACCTTCAGCTTTAACCACTTCTAGTGCGGACGCTTTCCCCCCCTTCCAGTCCGGACGCTTTCCCCCCCTTCCAGTCCGGACGCTTTCCCCCCCTTCCAGTCCGGACGCTTTCCCCCCCTTCCAGTCCGGACGCTTTCCCCCCCTTCCAGTCCGGACGCTTTCACCCCCCTTCCAGTCCGGACGCTTTCACCCCCTTCCAGTCCGGACGCTTTCACCCCCTTCCAGTCCGGACGCTTTCACCCCCTTCCAGTCCGGACGCTTTCACCCCCTTCCAGTCCGGACGCTTTCACCCCCTTCCAGTCCGGACGCTTTCACCCCCTTCCAGTCCGGACGCTTTCACCCCCTTCCAGTCCGGACGCTTCCCCCCCCTTCCAGTCCGGACGCTTTCCCCCCCTTCCAGTCCGGACGCTTTCACCCCTTTCCAGTCCGGACACTTTCCCCCCCCCTTCCAGTCCGGACACTTCCCCCCCCTTCCAGTCCGGACACTTTCACCCCCCTTCCAGTCCGGACACTTTACCCCCCTTCCAGTCCGGACACTTTACCCCCCTTCCAGTCCGGACACTTTACCCCCCTTCCAGTCCGGACACTTTACCCCCCTTCCAGTCCGGACACTTTACCCCCCTTCCAGTCCGGACACTTGCCCCCCCTTCCAGTCCGGACACTTGCCCCCCCTTCCAGTCCGGACACTTTCCCCCCCTTCCAGTCCGGACACTTTACCCCCCCTTCCAGTCCGGACACTTTACCCCCTTCCAGTCCGGACACTTTCCCCCCTTCCAGTCCGGACACTTTCCCCCCTTCCAGTCCGGACACTTTCCCCCCTTCCAGTCCGGACACTTTCCCCCCTTCCAGTCCGGACACTTTCCCCCCTTCCAGTCCGGACACTTTCCCCCCCTTCCAGTCTGGACACTTTCCCCCCTTTCCAGTTTTCCCCCCCTTCCAGTCCGGACACTTTCCCCCCCTTCCAGTCCGGACACTTTCCCCCCCTTTCCCCCCTTTCCAGTCCGGACACTTTCCCCCCCCCCTTCCAGTCCGGACACTTTCCCCCCCCTTCCAGTCCGGACACTTTCACCCCCTTCCAGTCCGGACACTTTCCCCCCTTTCCAGTCCGGACTCTTCTTTCCCCCCCCTTTCCAGTCCGGACACTTCCCCCCCCCCCTTCCAGTCCGGACACTTTCCCCCCCTTCCAGTCCGGACACTTTCCCCCCCCTTCCAGTCCGGACACTTTCCCCCCCTTCCAGTCCGGACACTTTCCCCCCCTTCCAGTCCGGACACTTTACCCCCCCCCTTCCAGTCCGGACACTTTCCCCCCCTTCGAGTCCGGACACTTCCCCCCCCCCCCTTCCAGTCCGGACACTTGCCCCCCCTTCCAGTCCGGACACTTGCCCCCCCTTCCAGTCCGGACACTTGCCCCCCCTTCCAGTCCGGACACTTGCCCCCCCTTCCAGTCCGGACACTTCCCCCCCCTTCCAGTCCGGACACTTTACCCCCTTCCAGTCCGGACGCTTTCCCCCCCCCTTCCAGTCCGGACGCTTTCACCCCTCTTCCAGTCCGGACGCTTTCACCCCCCTTCCAGTCCGGACGCTTTCCCCCCCCCTTCCAGTCCGGACGCTTTCCCCCCTTCCAGTCCGGAGTCACGCTTTCCCCCCTTCCAGTCCGGACGCTTTCCCCCCCCCCTTCCAGTCCGGACGCTTTCACCCCCCTTCCAGTCCGGACGCTTCCCCCCCCCTTCCAGTCCGGACGCTATCCCCCCCTTCCAGTCCGGACGCTTCCCCCCCCCTTCCAGTCCGGACGCTTTCCCCCCCTTCCAGTCCGGACGCTTTCACCCCTTTCCAGTCCGGACACTTTCCCCCCCCTTCCAGTCCGGACACTTTCACCCCCCTTCCAGTCCGGACACTTTCACCCCCCTTCCAGTCCGGACACTTTCACCCCCCCTTCCAGTCCGGACACTTTCCCCCCCTTCCAGTCCGGACACTTTCCCCCCCCCCTTCCAGTCCGGACACTTTCCCCCCCTTCCAGTCCGGACACTTTACCCCCCTTCCAGTCCGGACACTTGCCCCCCCTTCCAGTCCGGACACTTGCCCCCCCTTCCAGTCCGGACACTTTCCCCCCCTTCCAGTCCGGACACTTTCACCCCCTTCCAGTCCGGACACTTTCCCCCCCTTCCAGTCCGGACACTTTACCCCCTTCCAGTCCGGACACTTGCCCCCCCTTCCAGTCCGGACACTTTCCCCCCCCTTCCAGTCCGGACACTTGCCCCCCCTTCCAGTCCGGACACTTTACCCCCCCTTCCAGTCCGGACACTTGCCCCCCCTTCCAGTCCGGACACTTTCCCCCCTTCCAGTCCGGACACTTTCACCCCCCTTCCAGTCCGGACACTTTCACCCCCTTCCAGTCCGGACACTTTCCCCCCCTTCCAGTCCGGACACTTTACCCCCCCTTCCAGTCCGGACACTTGCCCCCCCTTCCAGTCCGGACACTTTCCCCCCCTTCCAGTCCGGACACTTGCCCCCCCTTCCAGTCCGGACACTTTACCCCCTTCCAGTCCGGACACTTGCCCCCCCTTCCAGTCCGGACACTTTCCCCCCCTTCCAGTCCGGACACTTTCACCCCCTTCCAGTCCGGACACTTTCCCCCCCTTCCAGTCCGGACACTTGCCCCCCCTTCCAGTCCAGGCCAAATTTTCAGCTTTCAGCGCTATCACACTTTGAATGACAATTGTGCGGTCATGCAACACTGAACCCATATGAATTTTTTTACATTTTTTGAGACAGATAAAAAAATTTTATAAAAAGGTGTTTTTTCTTATAAAAGTTTGCAAGTAAATAATCAATCTTTCTCCATAAATCTTGGTCAAAATGTATTCAGTTATCTCTTTCGTAAAAAAAAAAAAAAAAATAACCCAAATTCGTTTAAAACCAAAAATTAAACATTTTTCAAAATTTTTTTTTTTTACATTTTTATTTTTTTTAATATTATTATTTATGTTGTTTTTTTTTTTTTGTAACATACTGTCACCATAGTGATACTACTTGTGGGGGGTGATGAAGAATTTTTTTTTTTTTTTTACACTGATTGCTTTTACACCCATAAAGGCTGTAAAAGCAATCATTTCTCCTTCTCTCTGGCTGCATTCTTGCAACAATTGGGAAATACTGTGTGAGCTGTGATTGGTCACAGCTTGTCACATGGTACAAGGCTGTTGTGAATGGCCCTGTACCATGTGATCTCGGTGATCATTCACAGATTTCACACGTAGTAAGCAATGATGTCAGAAGTGACATCTTGCTTACTACTCTGCATGTGATCACCGATTGGCCAACCAGTGATCACATGATCGGGACCTCGCACAGAGGTCCCGTACAGCGATCAGTGTTCCAGAGGACACAGCGGGCAGCCAGGGGGTGCGCACAGGCAGAAAATGTGGGAGGACGTTTATAAACACCCACCCGCCCCTGCACTGCCCCCGTCTGGCCGTTTATGTACATGGGCCGGACGGGAAGTGGTTAAAGGACCTCCCCATGTCCATCTGTCCCCTTATTCGTCTCACCTGCAGGACGATTGGTTTGTCTTCGAACAGGACAGCCAAGTACTTATAGTCGGCGTACGCCCAGAACTTCGCCACGTCAAACCCTCTGAAAGCTCCACACCGCTCCGAAGAATCTTCACCAATCCAACGCCGGAACTCCTCGACCGTTCCATCGATATAATCGCACTGAGTTTCAAACTGCGGCTCTGCGTAGGAGAAAAAAAAAAAAAAAAAAGGAGATTGGTAGTGAGTGAAGTCGCCGTACTGCACCGTGGAGGAGGAAGTACAATCTGTAACAAACTAGCTCATCAGAGCTGGAAGCGGAGTTCTTCTTTGTCTTGTCCTGTCTGTTATTTGAGGTATTCCTCTATCATTCCTCACATCCCCCCCTTTCCAGTCCTGAGAGGCAAATGTTATCTCCTGACAGATGGTGTAGGTCAACCAGGTGAAGCATTCCTGGTGGTGCCAGCAGTCTGGGAAAACTGTCACCTTTCTCACCTACGTCTGATAAGGCAGCATTTCTCAGAGGGC